GTGGTTAACCGGCACACTAACTTGAACTTAACAAGGTAGGTAAAGGGTGACTTAATGTTTATCATAGTATCGATGGAGCGTGTGTGATTAACCGGCACATCGATTGAGGGGTAATACATTAAGGGTACCAAGTAATTTGCATGGTTACTTCACACCTTGTTTTGTGATCCTCGGCATCCCAGTCACAAAACTTGAAGGGCACACTCGAGATTGAAACATGCCATTGAAGAAAGTTCAATGAATCTCAAAGAATCTAGGAGTTTCTAAACCAATTAAAACCTAATTAAATATTTCGTTTTTCATGGTGGAAATTGGTGAATCGTCATTCACCTATCTTCAAATATCTTATAGCTTAGATTACGGATCCCTCTTCTAAGTTATAAATATTGTGGGGGTCCTAGCCTTAATATTACATTTGGGTGTTTTGTTAAGGACTATCTCTATATCTAATCTAATCTATTCCCTCTTCTTTTCAGACGTCTTCCAATAACAATGCTTCTGGCTCAAACCCTACTAGCTCCTTCTCTCTCATGAATCTTTGTGGGAGAGTCATCTTTGATGGGTCCAACTTTACAGATTGGATCAGAAACATCAGGATGGTCACTCGGTATGAGAACAAAGAATATGTTCTCGACAAGGAGCTGAAGGTACCCGAGCCAACTGCTACTCCTGAAGAGCTTGCTGAATATGAGGTACATGAAAGAGATGCTACAAAAGTGGCATGCATCATGATGGCCACCATGACAGCCGAGCTCCAAAAGTCCTATGAGGACTATTATCCTTTTGAGATGCACCAGGACTTGATGGACCGCTACCATCAAAGTGCTCGTCAAGAGCGATATAAAATAATCTCCTCCATGATAACAACCCGAATGAAGGATGGTGAACCCATCACGGGCCACATGCAGAAAATGCAAAGGTATGTGGACCGTTTACTGAAGCTGAATGTGAACTTCCCTGAGGAGTTAGCAATAGACATCATTTTGCACTCCTTTCCATCGTGTTATGATCAATTCCGCATGACATATCACATGAACAAGGAAGAAGTCACCCTCAGCAAACTTCAAGGACTCTTGAAGACCGCTGAAAGTGGTCTAAAGGGTAAGTCGGTTGTTACTACTCCTACTCCTACTCCAACTGCGGCCAATGTCTTGGCAATCGGGCATGTCAAAGGGAAGAAGAGATAGAACCCTTCTAAGGGTACCAAGGGTAAGACCCTTGAAGGCTCCTCTTCAAGCAAAACCAAGAAAGGTTTTGTCACTCCTTCTGCTAACCCTAATGAGGCTGAATGCTTCTATTGCCATGAAAAGTCGCACTGGAAGCGAAACTGCCCAAAGTACCAGCAAGATTTGAAGGATGGGAAAGTAAAACCCAACCATGGAGGTATATACACTATATTGTCTAATAACTCACCTCATTCTAAGTCTTGGGTCCTTGATACAGGTTGTGGTAGTCACATATGTTGTGATTTGCAGGGACTAAAAAGAAGTGAGAATGTGGAGCAGGGAAAAATAAACTTGATCATGGGAAACAGGAAAGTTTCACCTGTCATCAAGATAGGAGTTTATTCCTTAGTGCTAAATAGTGGGTTTACATTAGATTTGAATAAATGTTATTATTCGCCAGAAATGGCAAGAAATGTTATTTCCTTTCATGCATTGTATAAACAAGGTTTTACCTTTTATTTTGATAATAATAATGGTAGTATTGATGCTTTCTTTAATAATGTTCTTTGTTTTAAAGCATTACCTTGTGATGGCGTGTATGAAACTATACCTGTTGTAGATAATCTAGAAAATAATGTATTGTGTATTAACTCTTCCACTAGCTTAGATAAAGCATCCTTATGGCATTGTCGTCTTGGACATGTAAGCAAGAAACGCATAGGCCAACTCCAAAAGGATGGAGTCTTGGAGTCATTTGACCTAAAGTCAGATGATAGTTGTGAATCTTGTTTGCTCGGTAAAATGACAAAGTCACCTTTTACTGGCACTTGTGCTAGGGGTGAAGGTTTGTTGGACCTCATACACACGGATGTGTGTGGACCCTTCAGAACCGCCACAAGAGATGCTAATCGGTTCTATGTGACTTTTACTGATGATTTTAGTAGATATGGATATGTCTACCTAATCAAGCATAAGTCAGAAACCTTTGAGAAATTCAAAGAGTTTAAGCAAGAAGTGGAGAATCAGTTGGGCAGGAACATTAAGATGCTTTGATCCGATCGTGGTGGTGAGTATCTTAGTACTGAGTTCCTTGACTATCTTAAGGAATGTGGGATTGTCTCACAATTGACACCTCCTAGGACACCACAGTTGAATGGTGTAGCTGAGAGGCGCAATCGGACCTTGTTGGACATGGTTCGTTCCATGATGAGTCGAGCTTCGCTACCAATCTCATTTTGGGGGTATGCCTTAGAGACTGCCGCCCATATCCTTAATCTAGTCCCCACAAAGAAGGTTGCCAAAACACCTCACGAGGTGTGGACTGGAAAAGTTCCCAATCTAGACCACATCAAGATTTGGGGTTGCGAGGCTTTCATGAGACGCGAGACTCACGATAAGCTCGAACCCCGAAGCGAAAGGTGTATTTTCATCGGCTACCCACAGAAATCCTTTGGTTACATCTTCTGCAGACCCAGTGATAATGTGGTCTTTGTAGCAAGAAGAGGATTCTTTCGAGATAGAGAATTCATGAGCCAAGGAGACAGTGGGAGGCAAATTGACCTTGAGGAAATTCAAGAGTCAAGTGGTGAAGGAATCCCAAACCCTAGCCCTCAACCTGAGGAGGAAACTCCTGTTGAGCCGACTGAAGAATCTATAACTCTGAGGCGTTCCACCAGAGTTAGGAATGCACCTGAGCATTATTATGGTTTACATATTACTGCAGAAGGTGAGACACTTATCAGTGATAACACACTGGTAAATCTGGATGAGCCTAACAGCTACACGGAAGCCATGGCAGGCCCTGAGGCTGCTAAATGGAAAGAGGCTATGGATAGCGAGATACAGTCCATGTATGACAATCAAGTTTGGAACTTGGTTGACAATGTACCTGATCGTAAGATAGTTGGGTGCAAATGGATCTTCAAGAAGAAGACCGACATGGATGGTAATGTACACACTTATAAGGCACGATTGGTTGCAAAGGTTATTCTCAAACTCCGGGAGTTGATTATGATGAGACCTTTTCACCAGTGGCCAAGATTAAGTCTATCAGGGTTCTGTTAGCCATTGCTGCATTTCATGATTATGAAATATGGCAAATGGATGTCAAAACCGCTTTCCTTAATGGAATGTTGGCTGAAGATGTTTACATGGTTCAGCCAGAGGGTTTTGTCAGTACAGAGTACCCCAGTAGAGTGTGTAAGCTCGAGAAATCCATTTATGGATTAAAACAGGCACCTCGCAGATGGAATCTTTGCTTTGATGAGAAAAATCAAAGAATTTGGCTTTTCAAGGAGTGAAGATGAATCTTGTGTCTATATCAAGGCTAGTGGGAGTATAGTCAGCTTTTTGGTACTGTATGTGGATGACATACTACTCATAGGAAATGACATCCCAACCCTGCCGGAAGTAAAGTCCTGGCTTGGGAAGTGTTTCACTATGAAGGACCTTGGAGAAGCTGCCTATATCCTAGGGATAAGGATTTTGAGTTGTACCAGCTATAAAGGAGCCAATGGAGATTTTCTGTGACAGCAATAGTGCGGTTGCCTTAGCCAAGGAACCAAGAGATCATGGAAGATCCAGACACATTGACAGAAAATATCACTTCATTAGACATCGAATAGAAGAAGGAATCCTCGTGGCAAAGAGGGTATCATCGGATGAGAACCCAGCAGATCCCCTCACGAAGGGACTGACTCTGGCTAAGCATCTCCAGCATGCTCGGAGCATAGGGCTGAAGGATGATATTAGTTTTAGTAGTTAGATAATCTTGAAATTTGTAAAATGTAATTGACATTTGATGATAAATAAAAGCTGTTATTTATGTGTAAAGTGTTGCTATCTCTTGTCAATCGTTTACTATTATTTCTTTTTGCATGTTTTGACTTCCAGAATAATTATGTTATGGTTTATATCATATTATTCAAACTCTCCACAGTCGGTCATATGTTGGAAGTAGATATGAATCAAGACTATCATGGGTTGGCTTGTAGAGGTCTAAGATGTTAGACAAAGCGGGCTACAGCACTCATGAGTGCTCATAAGTTCTGAGTATTGGATTCAACCCATGCTCACTTGTATCACTTCATGGAATTTATCTCGAGTGATCGTGAGACAGTAATATCATATAAGTCTTCAAACCTAGAGATATGATTTGTTGCCTATGAGTTGGTTATGCATTGATTGCACGAAAATGCATTGGTAACTCGATGTTATAAACCGTGCTTTTGTGTGTAATTCAACAAGTAGTAGAGCAAACATATGAGTCGAAGTTTATCTGTTCCTTCTAGGATTAGAAGCGATATCTGGGCCCTCGATGATTTTGTTTTGACCTATGTACCGGGCCCGGTCAGAACTAAATTGATGTGTTCAGTTAAGTTCTATGTCAAACAAATCGGAAATCGGGAAACAAATACTGGAAAATAAGCAAGACCATGTTCCATGTATTTGTCCGGCTGATATCTAGAACAGAGGATTATATGATCACTTATCTAAAATGGCGCTTCATAGTTCAACAGAGTTGAAAGAGCTACGATTGCTGATCGGTTCCTGAAGTCATACTTGCAACTATAGTTATTAGACTTATCCAAGTGGGAGACTGTTGGATATAGTGTCTAAGTCCATAACTATATTTGGTATGTACTTGACCCGACCCGGCATGGTCCATTTGGGTTGCACTTCACCCGAACAATTTATGGATAATCGTTTGAGAATAGTATAAGTTATGATTTACTAATATATTATAAGTCCTAATATATTAATATAAAATCATATTATTTAATTAGTATTGATCTATAATTAATCTAGAATTAATTTAGAGACTGAATCGTAGCAATGGAATCATTAAGTCATAGTTCATTGGTTGAATGTATCATTAACCATTTTTTTTGGTACGAGGAACTTATCATGAATCCACTGATTTCTGCCGCTTCCGTTATTGCTGCTGGATTGGCTGTAGGGCTTGCTTCTATTGGACCTGGAGTTGGTCAAGGTACTGCTGCGGGTCAAGCTGTAGAAGGTATCGCGAGACAGCCCGAGGCGGAGGGAAAAATACGAGGTACTTTATTGCTTAGTCTAGCTTTTATGGAAGCTTTAACCATTTATGGCCTGGTTGTAGCATTAGCACTTTTATTTGCGAATCCTTTTGTTTAATATTCGAAATATGAAAAATCAAAATTTTTCATATTTTATTGCCTTGGACTTGTGCTTTGCTTTTTCGAATTAAATAAAGATTTCATTCCTAGAATTACTTATTCGTTGAGAAAATAACCCACGGGAAGGGCTGATTTGCGGATGAGTAATTAGCATACCAACTCGCTTTCATCCTTCCCGTTCGTGTTCGTAGGCCTTTTTTTAGTTTTTAAGAGGGGTTGCAACCAAGGAGGTAATTCATTATTTCTAAATCGAATAAAAAATCTATTCTATTTAGAAAGTAGGAAACTAGCAATATCAATATATATATATAAAAGAAGGCAACTCCCAAACATTTGTCAGATGTGTCGATATCAATGGTGACTCATTATTTCGATGAATCATTTCTTCGGACAGAAGAAGATTATGCAAACACTTACTCGAAATCTCACTTATCAGATTCCTTTGTGGAAGACATAATTTTTTCTAAAGAATTCGCCATGATATATTTGATCCATGCATAATATCATGAAAAATGGATACAAATTTTTGACTGCTACTTATTATCGGCAATAGGTCTGAAAAAGTATCTAAAAATAAAAACTTTAGATATCTGTACCCTGTCGAAGTAAGGAACCATGGCATATATGTTTGGAAGAAAACAAATAATAATCTAGGAAGAATAAATTTTTTTATTTAACTTGTTGATTCATATTTATTTTGACTACTTTCTCATATTTTATCATATTCTATTCATTTTTATTCGACCTTCCCGGAGTTCATTCTCCGGGCAACTCCGTTTAACCGGTGGATTCCTTCCAACCTACTTCTTTTATGATCTCATTGGAAATCATATAAAGACAATTCCTATTTGATATAGCTATTTCAAAAGTATGACTAATTAAATATGGGCTCTTGTATTTATATAGTGTGGGCTAATGCTTATTTGGGAATGGGCTAGGCTTGCATGGAAAGTCCATGGATACTCCACGCAGCTTTAACCCATGGATCTCATGGAAATGAAAAGACATGGGTATTAGGGTTTACATGAATGTAACCCTAATCCACCACACTATATAAAGGAGGCTTTGGTTCTTGAAATCACATGAGTTGTGGTGAGTAAAGTAAGAGGGCCGATTTCAAGAAGGTGATTACTATTCTCTCAAAGTTCCAAGTTTGTGGTGATTTGTGATTTCCATTTGAGGCATCCACACTATTGGTGCTAGGCTCTAAAACTCCAAGCAATCAACTACTACTACAAGGTAAGTAATTCTACTAGTTTTATTTGATTCAAGTACCCCATGCCATGCTAGATAGGATAAGAACCTTGGAAAAATAATTATTTGCATGTATCATAGTCAAACATAGATCCAAGGTTTCTAGGGTTGCATGTACACCATAGGAGTGTTAGAATGCTCAAAACCCATCGCCTTAGACCCATTGGTATGGTGAGGAGACTCACCTCTCAAGAGTGTTGCACTGATAAGATAGGATCAGATAAGTCCCCGCGCGCAGCTCCAACTCAACTTCCTATAACCATCATGTGATTAACTTGTCAAAAATCCCGAAATACCATAAATACCCTCAAGGTCAAACTTGGTTAACCCTGGTCAAAGTCCAAGTCAACAGTCAAGGTTAACAGTCCATGTTGACCCCAACTCGTCGAGTGCATCTAGCAACTCGCCGAGTTCCTTCAAAGTCCAGAAAACCGGGACAAACCCTAGCCAACTCGCCGAGTTGTCTCATCAACTCGACGAGTTCACTCAATATCCAGTGGACGGGGAAACCCGATCCAACTCGTCGAGTTGCCAGGGCAACTTGTCGAGTTTTCCCCCTGTTTTCTTATTCGGATGATACGTTGACTTCAGGGACTCTAAGGCTTAGATCTGAAACCTAAAGGTGTCTAGAAGGATAAAGATTCCAACTTTATCCTCTAGAACCACTCTGAATGCCCTAAAGCCCTTAACAAAGGTTGGAAAGCTCAAAAGCTTAGCCATGTGGTTCAAGACTCTAGTGATCTGGAATCCCTCCTTTCTAGAAGAGGTTCTAATCCTCAAAACGTTCCAAAGATGGAGACTTTATGGACATGCATGTCCAATCCATGTCTTGAAGTCAAAATGGCCAAAGAGGGAAAATATGCCCTAAAATCCATGCATAGCATCCATGCTTGACCAAAAGCTAGATCTAGCTCACCACGGGACCATTTTTCCCTGGAGATTCATAAAGTTGCAAACTTTTTGAACCCCATGCATGCAATTAACAAGAATGATAGGAAATGAAGAGTAAACTCAAGATCTATGCATACTCTAAGATAAAACTCGAATCTTGAGTGCTTACAATAGTGCACGAGATGGTCAAGCTCAAGAGTGAGGGCTTTGTTTGCTGGATCTTCTCCTTCTTCTCACTATCTTCTTCTTTTTAAGCTCCAAAAGTCACTCTAGCTCACAATATGAGAGAAAATGGAGACTAGGGTTTAGCACTGACGTTCTTAGGGTTTGGGAGGGTGATGGAAGGTCAAAATCAAGGTTTTAAGGAGATTATTTAAGGTGAAAACCATAAAATTTAGGGTTTTCCTTTACAACGCCTACTCGTCGAGTTGGGCCTTCCAACTCGTCGAGTAGGTCCTAAATCCTGTGTCCCACAAACAATCTCTACTCGACGACTTGGAGACATTTTTGTCTCTCCAGTATGAATAGAGAATCCCAACTTGTGCGCCTCTTCCATCAAAACCTGCCGCGCACCACCCCAGTATGGAACCCATATCCTCCGGTGAAGGGTTAATAACCCTCGACTATCATAATCGAAGGACGCCATCGGACCCACAATACACTTACTCTTCCGGTGCTCTTTCTTCCTAGCCTCAATCCGAGCCTCTCGAATCTGATCTAATAGTGGGGTAATCATTGTCATCTTCAAACATAAATCCCTAATTGGAGCCGCGACCGCCTTGCGGCCGATAGCATCGGCCACCACGTTGTCCTTCCATGTTGTGATAATGGATCTCACAATGATAATCCTTCACCACATCCAACCATCTACGATGTTTCATGTTTATATTTAGCTGGTCCATCAAATACCTCAGGCTCTTGTGATCCATGTAGATAGTACATCGGACCCAATAGAGGTATTGTCGCAAAATCTTGCGGGAAAACACCACATCCCCAAAATCCAAATCGTGTGTTGGATAGTTTGCCTCATGAGGATTCAACTGCCTCGAGGCGTAAGCGACAACATGAACACACAACATCAAGATTGCACCCAAGCCCGTGATCAAAACATCACAATATAATACAAGCTCCTCAACACCCTCTGGTAGGGTCAGAATCGGAACCTCACATAATCTCTGTCTCATGGTCTCAAAGGCTGCCTGCTGCTCAGGCCCTAAATGAAACTTGACGGTCTTTTTCGTCAACCAATTCAAAGGAATCGTTATCTTGAAGAAATTCTAAATGAATCTCAGGTAGTAACCTTCCAATCCAAGGAAACTCCGAATCTCAGATGGAGACCTTGGAACCTCCCACCTCATCACCACCACGACCTTGGCCGGATCGACCAGAATGCCGCTATGGTTCACAAGGTGCACTAGAAACTACACCTCATGCAACCAGAACTCACAGTTGGAGAACTTCACATACATTCTCTCCCTCCTTAGAGTCTCTAATACCTCCCTCAGATGGTCCTCATGCTGCTCCTGAGTCTTGGAATAGACTACGATGTCATCAATAAATACAATCACAAACTGATCCAACATGGGCCTGCATATGCGATTCATGAGATCCATGAATACGACAGGAGCATTGGTGAGCCCAAAAGGCATCACCACGAACTCGTAATGACCATAACTAGTCCGGAAGGCCGTCTTCTACATGTCCTCATCTTTAACCCTCATCTGGTGATAACGCAAATGCAAATCAATCTTTGAGAACCAAGATGTGGCCTGAAGCTGATCAAATAAATCGTCAATCCTCGGGAGCAGGTAACTCTTCTTCACCGTTATCTTATTCAATACCCGGTAGTCAATACGTATCCGATGCATCCCATTCTTTTTCTGCACAAAATAAGATCGACGCTCCCCATGGTAAACTACTTGGTTGGATAAATCCATTGTCTAGCAGCTCCTGCAACTGCGTAGACAACTCCTTCATCTCTGGAGGTGCTAACCGATAAGGTGCTTTGGCTATTGGATCCGCACCTGGAACCAAATCAATCCGAAACTCCACCTGCCTCTCCGGAGACACTCCTAGAAATTCCTCCAGGAACACATTCGGGTACTCCCGAACAATCGGTACATCATCTATGGTCATCTCACCCTTCTCCCGAGTATTCGTCACATAGGCCACAAACCCGGAACATACCAGCTGAAGATAACGCCTGGCTCTGGCTGCCAAACATAAAGTCGAACCATGCTGAGCACCCTCATCGTGGCTCACCAACTCTCCCCCACTCGAGGTCCGAACACGTACCAGCTGAAGCATGTAATCAATCATCAATCCAATGGGGCTCAACCAATCCATCCCCACAATGGCCTTGCTCTCGCGCATGGGAATCAGAACCAAATCTATCGAATACTAATCATTGAATAATTCCAAAGTGCATCCATGGTGAACCCTCGACACTTGCATCGGACGGTCTTCCAAAATCTTAACCTCTATTGGATAATCCAAGTCTCTACGGACATCGCCAAACGTCCTGCTAAGCGTAAGGGATACAAAAGATCATGTAACCCCTGAATCGAACAAGACCAACATAGGAATACCGTTCACAAGGGACGACGCGAATCAAAAATACAAACATATAAGTAGGACAACTGACATAAATAAGAGGATAAGGAGAAAATACATACCTGTGACCACATCGTGTGCTGCACGAGGCTCCTCGACTGTCAGCTGAAATGCCCTGCTCCGAACAACTAGCGTCTCCGCCTTGCCCTGGCGGCCATCAGTGATCCTGATAGTCATCGAAGAAGGTGCTACAACTGGTCCTCATGAGGGTAAACTCGGGAAATTGGCCTTCTTAAGGCC